TCAAGAATGCAACTTATTATCATTAGATGAAGCTTTTTGTGAAGTAAGCTAGCTCGGTTGATCATGTCTATTCCTTAGATTACTTCAAATTTCATCTAATTTTAAATGTTTATGAAATCTAGCACTCAAATAATTACTGTTTAGTCAAGAAGAAGGAAGCAGAGAAAAAATTTCATCGAGAATTTCTACTTAGTTTAGATTTAGACTGGTCTAGTTAAATCTCACTGTTGGTACACAATGATAATTGCAGGGTTATCAGAAAGTGTATCGCATTTCACCAGATTTAGGATATTATATAGAATGTCAAAAAGCAATTTCACAATACATATCAGAATTAGCTACCAGAAAGACACCAAATTGGAATTCTAGCAGTGATTCCAATTGTCCATTGAAACATTTGCCAACAAATTATGAGGTTATTAATGTATTTTTTTTTTGTTTCTAACAAAAAGACAACAAGTAATGTTTTGAATAATACGCATAATTACGTGAAAATAATTTGAACCATTTCAGGGATATTTAGCTTGTGATTTTGTTCAAGGCAAATGGTACCAGATATTGTTCAAGAGTGTAACTCGTTATGAAGTGTATCATAAAAAGGTATATCGAACATTTTGGTCGAATCATTCCAGTATTTATGTTATTCGACCAAGTTTTCTCATCAAAACAAATTACACCGAGGTTAATTGGTTGCAAAAGCTTATCTCCCTAAAGGTCAGGTGAGTGGGTACTTTTCTTTATTTAATTAACAATAATAATAATAATAATAATAAAACAAAGCTATCAAAATAATTTATTTCATTTTACTTCTCGCGTCAAATGAAAAATCATTTTCAACTCAGTTTTCTTATTTTCCTAAATTCTTTCTGATATTTCAAAGAGTAGTAAATTCATTCTGTAAGTGCTAAATTACATTACAACAAATAAAAGAATGTACAATTAAGAGTTAAATGATTTATTTTCCAAGCAGAAGCCTAGCCTAGACAAAAATAGCTCATTTGCTAGCAATAAT